AACCTTTAAGCTACTTGCTGTCAAATGTGCAGTTCATGGATCAGTAAACAGTCGTGACGACACACAATCAATCTTCACATGTCACCTCTTTAGCAGGTGAGATCGATGTCCACAGCAGCGAAATGACAAATGTCCATAATGATCCTGGTTCCAGCCCTGAAGGCCTCCGTCCTGAGGGAGGACATCACACCGACTCTCTAGCTGGTCAACCTGTGGCTGCAGCAGAAGATCAGCCAGAAGAACACCCAAACACCAGCGATTCAACATCTCCGAGAAGAACGACAGCATCGGATGTTTCTGCAAATCTACGACTGAAGGCAGGATTTTATACCAACATCACCCCAACAAGTGTTCAGGTAGCCAAAACAACAACAACAAACCTTCCAGAGCAGGTGGAGACCAAACAAGGAGCTAAAACAGACCTGGTACTGGACGTAGCCACAGTGTGTGCTAGCAATACGCTTTTTTAAAATATATTTGGCGTTTTGTTGCGATGAATGAAAATACATCATCAGCTCCTTCTGCGAATCACAACTGGGCTGAAATTTTACAACCAAACACATCCTGAGAAATGTTTGAGTAGTAATTAAAATTCTTTCAATAATATAATAATGTGATTTTCCATTTATTTATAGTCTAAAAACAGTCAGATTTAAATGTAACTACAGATTTCATGGATTTTTACGGCTGATCATCAGGTCTGAAGGCTGACTGCTAATGTAAATAAAAGTGTGAAGCATCTGAAATCCTGACGCGTCAAAACTCTTTTACAGCTCAGTGTTACAGATATGACGGCTTTGTTCAGTAATAGAAGCAGCAGGGAGCGTGCACATGCGTGTGGTTTTGTACATGTGAAGGTGAAACAATGCGGTTACCTCCTGAGCTCATTACGCCGTAATGTGCAGCTCACAGCCTCTTGAAGTCGTCCCAGATGGCCGATCCGGTGGGTGGATGTGGAGCTGCAGAGGAGGCGCTGAAGGACACGAATATCCAGCGTGGCTTTGATCCGACGAGGTAAATCCCTCTCTGATGTCACCGAGCCTCACCGCTGACTGTTAATGAGAAAACACCAGCGAGAGGCACCGACTGTCAGGAAGCAGCGTGTTGTATAGGTTAGATGTCTTATATAATGTTATATAGTATTATATAGTGTTATATAGTGTAATGTAGGTTATATATCTTACATAATGTTATATAGGTTCTATGTCTTATATAATGTTATAGTGTTATA